TACATTCCAGTTTTAGCTTGAACAACTTGAGTATTAGGATTCCTGCTCACCATCGAAGCATAACGTTATTTTGCCACAAGTGGAAATCAGCTATGCAGGCATACTTTTGCAGATTTCTGCTACACTGTCAGAGTCAGTCTCCATTACTCTTTTATTTTGCCATTTACCTTAATTCAGCGCTCTGCAGTTCTTCTTGTACTCGGCTACTGAGATGGAATAATATTTGAATGAATGGATGCATGATGTAAGAAGATCTACTGTTTTATTAAGTAGTAAACGGTTCTGTCGTTGCAGAAACAACCTCTATGCTGGCCCAAGCACTTAGGACTGTGTGGCTGTGAAAATAGACCACATAGCTCTGACAAGCCTGAAGATACTATAAATGGTAGTTGAACGACTTCCTGATCAGCCTATATGGCATGTGGTGATTGGAAGAGTGTCAGTGCCAGGGAGTGGGCTGATTTGTGATGTAATTCCATACCAAACATGGATATGGCACCTTATTTGCTGTTTTGGACACTCCCAGGTTAATGCCTTCTCTTAAAACATTCTCCGTTAGATGTGCATTTAGCTGTAGGAGCTGTTCCAGAACCTACTTTGTTCCTCACCTCCTTACCAGGAGCACAAACGATATGTTTTGGCATGCAACTTTCAGGTGAGGTGCTTTTTACTTGATTGTGGGTAAGACGCTATTTAGTGGTTTGATATTCAGCTCATTGGACATGAATCCAAATGACTGCAGATTGTTGATGGTGTGGTGCATTTGAGAATTTTTGTGTGATGAGTAGGAGACAGCATTTGACTCCTGACTAATCTTGACCAATGTAACCTGGTCCTTCAGGCCACAATCCTTGCATTGACCTCGAATGTCCTGAGGTTCTTCAGGTTATATAGCCATAGAATCCTTGTGGAAATAGACTTTTCTTATTTTAGGTCTTCTGAACTAAGGCCTACATTGCTTTTGTGAACCTGGGAGCCTCGCTTTCTGCCTAATGCTCTACTGCTATACTACTACTTCCAAGAAACACTTCTGGAGACCATTCCACAGATTTTCTGCAGCCAGTATGAATTTCACCTTTTGAGATCTACATGCTGGCCTTTAGACCTAGGCTCCCAGCTGAGCATGCAACAAGTCAAGAGAGTTTAGTGCTCAATTTGCATGCTACAATCAAGGAAATGATGAGGCCGTTTCAAATTTGCATGCTACCTGCATAGTATTGTGTGGTGTGGAGCAATTGCATGTCACAATCCCTGTTCCTGCTTTAACTAAAACCAGGGGAAATGCTAATAGATACACCTCAATCAATCACTTTAGTTTTAGATGGCAGATGGCTGGAAAGCTTACATGTGTTTTCAACTTTGTGACAGCCTGTTAAGTTTGTTTGTGTTGAGAGTTCAGACTGAATAATTTAAACTGAATTGAACAAAGTACCAAATCAATTTTTAAAAAGAAAGTACCCTTGTTTAATAAGTAACTTGCCACATGCAGGAAGAATGAATGTATTTAGGATTTTGCATAAGAATAAACTTGTTATTCAATATTTTAATTGTGCTAATACTTGGAGAAGGGACATTCACTGTTTGATAAGTAAATTGTCCATAAGGTGTAGGAGGAGAAGTAGGTGTTTTGGCCCATCAAATCTGCTCTACCATTCAATAAAATCATGGCTAATCTGGTAATCCCCAACTCCATTTTGCTGCCTTATCCCCATTACACTTGATTCCTTTATTGATTAAAAATCTGTCTATTTCAGTCTTGAATGTAAGTAATGGCCATGCCTTGACAGCTTTGTGAGGTAAAGAATTCCACAGATTCACCACTCTCTTGGAGGGAGAAAAGAAAATCCTCCTCACTTTTATTCGCAAATATGCATACCTTACCCTGAGATTAAGTCCTCTGACCCTAGACTCTCCCACAAGGGGAAATAACTACTCAGTGTCTACACTTTCAAATCCCTCAAGAATTTATGTTTCAATAAGACTGCCTCTCATTCTTCTAAACTCCAATAAGTACAAGCTGAAGCTATTCAACCTCTCCTCATACATCAGTCCCACCATTCCAAGAACCAGTCTGGTAAATGATCACTGTACTTCCATAGCAACAGCACTCTTCACAGATAGAGACTAAAACTGTTGGCCGTTCGGAAAGAGACCTTTTTATTCCTACTTTTTGTTTCCTGTCTACCAACTAGTTTTTTATCCATCTTTAATATACTACCCCTAATCCCACGTGCTTTAAGTTTACATGCTTTTATGTGAGATTTATTCAAAAGCCTTCTGAAAATTCACATAAACCATATCCGCTGACTCCCTTGATCAGCTTCGAAGGATTCCAGTAGATTGGTCAAGCGTGATTCCCCTATTGTAAATCCATGCTGAGTCTGTCTGATCCTGCCACACTTTTCCAAGTGTTCTGCTATTAAATCTTTTATCTTTTTTTTTAAATCTGTTATGTTTCATTACCATCCCTGCTTGGAAAATGATCACTATTCCGTCAGGGCTGGTGAATCAAAATCTTGAAGCTCCCTCCCTAGTAGTGTTCTGAGGGTACTTGCACCAAATTAGCTGCAGCTATTCAAGTCAGAAGATCACCAGTGACTTCTCAAGGACAACAAGGGGTGGGTGAGCAATAATTGCTGACTCAGCCAGCAATGCCGCATCTCATGAATGAATAAAAAGCATGGTGTTGTTCTGCAGATACTATTAATGTATCTGCTACCACTGGATTAGCCAAACCAGGGTTCAATTCCAGCCTTGGCCAACTGTCAGGCATTCTCCCTGTATCTGCCTGGGTTTCCCCTGGATGCTCTGGTTTCCTCCCCACAATCCAAAGATGTATGCAGATTAGATGGATTAGCCATGCTGAATTGCAGGATAGTGTCCAGAGATGTACAGGCTAGGGGCTTAGTCACAGTAAATGTAGGGTTGTAGGGATAGGGTTGTGGGCTAGGTCTTGGTGGGATGCTGTTTGGAGGGTTGGTGCAGACTTGAGAGGCCAAATACCCTCTTTCCACACTGTAGGGATTCTATTATTTAAAACGAAAGCAAAGAAGGATTAATGGCAGGTACCCACTTCAAATAACTCTTCAGTCCATGTCATATGCTGGGAGAGGTGGCAAATAGCACAACATCCTAAGAGCATTCATCTGTGAAAATGCTACACATTATCACACGTTGGGTTAAAGTCTTTCGACTGCAAGTCTTGTGGCAATTCAGGAAAACTTCATAGGAACTGCCTCTGTTTAAGATATCAGTTTGCCAATATCTTTTTAGAACAGTTACAAGTAGGTAATAAATGCTGGTTTTACTAGTAATACCCACATCCCATGAATGTATTTAAATAAATATATTGGACTGATATCAATGTTGGCTTTCACCCCAAAGGTAAAATAACCTCCCAGTTCTGACTGCCTAAGCTTGAACACAAACCACTTGAGGAAGATGCTTGAGAGCAGTGATACACGTGGAGCCGTACCTGCCTGAGTTCACACTTTTGGGAGAACTGTAGAACTTTACAATACAGAAGGAGGCTATTCAGTACATTTGTATCTGCACTGCCTCCCAAAGAGCGACACAGCTAGCCACGTTCTTCCAGTTGATTCCAGAGTTGAGAGGGTTGGATTATGAGGAGAGACTGAGTAGACTGGGATTATACTCATTGGAATTCAGAAGACTGAGGGGAGATCTTATAGAAACATATAAGATTATGAAGGGAATAGATAAGGTGGAGGCAGGGAGGTTGTTTCCGCTAGCAGGTGAAACTAGGACTAGAGGGCATCGCCTCAAAATAAAAGGAAGCTGATGTAGGACTGAGATCAGGAGGAACTTCTTCATCCAAAGAGTTGTGAATCTGTAGAATTCCCTGCCCAGTGAAGCGGTTGAAGCTACCTCGCTGAATGTTTTTAAGTCAAGGCTAGATAAATTTTTGAACAGTAAAGGAAATAAGGGTTATGGTGAGTGGGCGGATAAGTGGAACTGAGTCTCAAAAAGATCAGCCATGATCTTATTAAATGGTGGGGCAGGATCAAGGGGCCAGATGGCCTACTCCTGCTCCTAGTTCTTATGTTCTGCAGCCCTATCTATATCTCTCTCTATATGCATCATGTTCAAATATATACCCAACTCTATATTTTCACTTTTAAAAAATAATTTTATTTTCCAGGTTTCCGTTCTGGATTCCATTAAATAACTTGTAGTAATAAACAAAATTATCCAACCAGTGTTAAAACTACAGGCTCATGGTTATAAAACTGAAGGTGTCCCATTTGTAATGGTTATTTAATCAGGCACTGGGTTTCAAAACTTTTGGTTCACTTTTTAGAGAACAGGGTACAATGTTGAATCTGTTCCTTTTAAGCCATTAAATATTTGTTTTTGGATCAATATTGTCTCTAAGAAATGCATCTCCGAAATCTCACCATGACTGTTTTTAAAGGTTGTTGGAGAACCAGAATTATCATTGGCCCATTGCTTAACAATGACTGCATTCCAGGCTTCATGAAGCCTAACTGAGTGCCATTCCAAAACTGTCCTGGAGATCTTAAAGCTGGATTGTTAACAATTTTAGACTGAATCAGATCTTGCTCTTCTGTTTAGACAGAAGGACTAATCTTGAAGTTGAGCCTTTGTTCTCTATGAATCAGTTTAGCTTTCCACATGCAGTGTCTGCCAATGTAGCATTGAACAAATGTATTTTCTTTCTGTACTTTGTGAACTGAAAAATATGCTAAGTTTTGCTGTGTTCTTTGGACAACAGAAGTAAATCTCTGCCAGATTGTAGCTGAATTTAAATTTTGTGATTCAACTTAATTGGCTAATAAACTGAATAGTAGTAGATGTTTGATACATTGGTTTCTCTCAGTTACAACTTGGAGCTATTTTCAGGTCATGCTACCTTCAATTCACAGGAACTCTGTAAATCAGGCTTCAGGAAAAACTAAAGGGCAAAGAAAAGTAGGCTAAGGACCATAAATCAGTTAATTAAATGTTTTGTTTTCCAGAGCCAACATGAATTTGGAAAATCTCAGCAAGTCAGAATTGCTGATGTTCTTCAGTGTCCTTGAAGGAGAACTTGAAGCAAGAGATATGGTGATTGAATCATTACAAGTAGGTGGCACAGATTTTAGTCGTCTTTTCCCACATACGTAGGGGCTACAAATTTTATTTTACTTCTCAAAAAAATAATGTCAATGTTTCAGCCTGTTGAGGGCAAACTTATTTATCTTAATTACCATGAATTGTAAATGTACGCCTGCAAGCTAAGCATTTCTTTCTCCAAGGTTGTTTGGAGCTGTCCTTTAGTTGATTTTGTGATGTGTTAAAATCATTCACATTTTGTCAAGAGCGATTTTTAAAAAAAGGCTATTATTTCCCTATCCCAATATGCTGATGGCCCAGCTGATGCTTGCTGCTCACGAGTAAAGGTATTTGATATGCAAATCACTTCTTCTGTGGAGTGTGAAGAGACTGCTTCCCGTTTCCCTTTTCAGATGACCCCCAACGATGTGTTCCACACAAAAGTATCTGTTCCCAGCAAATTTCTTTGTTTGATTCACCATTAAAGAAATGACTGAGGCAAATAGGAAATTCCATTTACGTTATTTATTATGCAACAATCAAGAGGAATTTTGTTCTCCTCTAATGAGGTACATATTTCTGTAATCATACTAGCTCTTCCAGAGTGCATGTGATTGCTCTAAAATATTTCTACTAATGCAGTAGAGATCTGTGGCTGTCTATGGGTTGCTATTTATTTTATGGCCATTTAGTTATGTAGATTGGGGGTGATTTGTCATTGATCCAGGTAGTTGTCATTAAAAACAGGCCTTCAGATTCTTGATTTCTGGCACAAATAAACCTGCTGTGCTGCATTTGATGCATTAGCGTATAAAGTTGATAGCTCATTCAGGACTTCACTGCCTTACAAATTGTCAAGCTGTGGCTAATTGATCAAAAATCCTGGAGGCATGCTGTACCATTGCACAGTACTATTTAATTGGATGTCTAGATGGATCACAGGCGATGTCTTCTTTGTGCTTTAATGCAAAGACGGCCATTATAAGGAGTGGAGTGGTGGTTTGTTGATGTTCGGGTGTGTGCATAGATGAAGGTTAAGGCTGAAAGCTTCTGCAAAACAGGACGGGATACCACAGATGATTGCATTTTGGATGAGTCGCTGGCTTGGGATTTTGATTCTTTGCATTTGCTGTCTACTTCTGCTATGCACTTTAGCAAGTGCTTTTGAAGGAGACCACTTTGCTTTTATTTGGTTGTACCAGGTGCAAAAAACCTGTGCAAGTTTCTCCCAGAACTCAGCAGTCCATATTGAAATCCTAAGTGAGGGCTTCAGAATGCACTAGTCATTTTGTTTGACTGCCATAAGAACACTCCAGTTCTCCATGGAAAATTTGCCTTGGTATGCAAGTGTCAGACACCTCTGGGTAATTAGGGACGGGTGATAAATGCTGCCCTTGGTGAATGACTTTTTAAAAAAAAACTGAAAGACTCGGACTCATAGATATTTACAGTACAGAAGGAGGCCATTTAGCCCAATGTGTCTGCATTGGTCAACAAATATTTGATTACACCAATTCCATTTTCCAGCTTTTGGCACATAACACTTGAGGAAAAGGCAATGCAAGTAATTAGTTAAATAATGCTTAAATGTGACAAGAGTTTCTGGCTCAGTGTCAGTTTCAAACAATAATTTCCAGATTGTCGCCTTCTGAGTGAAATAAACATCTCCTCCTGAACTCTTCTTTCAGCAATCAATGTCTTGCCTTAAGTTTATGCCCCCTAGTTATTGAATCCACTATTAAAAGAAAAATATGCTCTTCCATCCACCCTGTTCTGCCCTTCATAATCCTTATACACCTTTATCATGTCCCCTCCCAACCTTCATTAGTCAAAGGAAAACAACCCTGGTCTATCCAGTCTTTCCTCATAGCTCAGACTTTCCGGCCCAGGCGACATCCTGATAAATCTCCTCTGCGTCCTTTCTAATGCTACAATGTGTCAACCAGAACTGCATGCAATTGTGGCCGAATCATAGTTTTATCCAGTTACAGTATAACCTTGCTGTTACTTTCTGTGCCTCTGTTAATAAAAGCCATAAAAAGATGCCCTCTTAATCATCTTATCTGCCTATCCTACTACCTTCAGGGTCTGTGGATATCATCCCACGGTTTATGGCTATTTTCCTTACTATTTGCTGCCCTACTAATTTTATTTCATTCATGAACTTCTTGATCATACCCCTACTTTTAAGTCCAATGTGCACCACAAGTGGCAAGGGGCCCGGCATCAATCCCTGTGAACCCAATTGGAAATCAACTTCTAGCCACAGACACATTCTTCTGCTTTGCGTCTCTCAGCTAATTTTGGATCCAGTGTGCTGCTTTGCCTTGGTCCCTTTTTCCCCTTTTTCCCCTTTTTTGACCTTTGACAGACCTTGGCAAAAACCTTGCTAAAATCAAATGCATTACCTTCATCAACACTCTTGGTTTTCTCCTTTTTAAAGTATCAATCAAACATGTCTCTTAACAAATCCATTCTGAGTATCACTGACTCATCCATGTCTTTCAATGTACTTGTAGGTATCTTCAGCTACTTACAGATATCAAACCCTGCTTTTCCCAGCATCGTCACAAAATCTAAAGATTTCATAAAAGTGCACAAAACTCTCCTGTCTTTTAGACCCAAGTTGACAACATGATGTTTCCCTGGACTTAACAATTACTATTTATTACAAACGATAGATTCTAGGTACAGGTCAAACATTGTGAACTGGCAGTTCAAACTGTAACCCCCTTTGTAAAACTCCTCTGCACGCATAGACAGAAGTGGATGTCATGGATGGATGGAAAGGCATTTCATTGGTCCCTCTTCACTTAGATGATCCTTTTGACTGGTTCATACTTGTAAAATCACTGGCTTATTGGTTAAAAACAACAGCTTATGGCAACTGATAAGGGAAATAAACTAGTTAACCTGAGGTGCATTTTTCTGCAGTGAAAGACAGCTCCTTCCCTCTGAGGTCCAGTGGTTTCTGACACAAACATGCACACCCACCAGCTATTCACTTATTTGGGAGCCAGTCAACGTTGGGGGCAGGCAGATTGTCTTTGCCATTAAAACTGGTCACGATTCCCCAGATAATCAGTTTCCATTTTCTTTGTGCTGTTTGCAAGGCCTAAGATGTCGCCTGCTTTGGAGAATAAGTTCATTATGTATCGTGTGTCTAGCTCTGAACCAGTAACTAATGCATATTGATCAACAAATAGGAAATCCTGAAGCATGTCTTGGAAACTCGGTCTTGGCCTTCAGAAATGATGTATCAAGTTCTCAGGAGAGTTGTCCAATTTAAACCTTGGAGTTATGGTTGCAGAACTACCACCATAAGATAAACAGCAAGTCATAGGTTTACTGGTAAAAGTTTATCTTAAGATCTTAATAGAAACAAAATGTATGCTGATCATAGAATATTTGACTTATCCAAAAATTTTATTGGTTAAGGATATTTTTACTCTTGTGTGGTATTGTGTAATAAATATGAATGGGAATTTTCTATTTATTCATCTTTCCTCTAGATACATTTGTATACTGGTCCATTCTATCGAACTGGTAAACTAATGCTAATTTGAGATCTGCTTTTGAGATATTTACATTTTTGTTCCCAGTAGTCATTTTATTAAAGCGTGATCAGTAGCTGTTCACTTAAATTAGATGCAAATATAATTAGACATTGTATGGGATAGCATGAGAAATTATGGTTATGTGCATGGACAAGATGACAAGGGGATCAAGTAGGCCATATGTCTCATTTATAAGAGATAACACAGTGTGGAGCTAGAGGAACGCAGCAGGCCAGGTAGCATCAGAAAGTTGACATTTTGGGTCAACTTTCCTGCTCCTTTGATGCTGCCTGGCCTGTTATGTTCCTCCAGCTTCACACTGTGTTAACTCTGACTCCAGCATCTGCAGTTCTTACTACCCCATATGGCTCGTTAAAACAGTTTTGTTTCTGTTCATACCTATGTTCCATGATTTTTCTTTTGAAAGCTGAATATCCATGGACTACAGTATAACGTTGAAAACTCTGAAATTCTACTGTTCTGCTAAAGGAGCAGGAACTGACTATATTCTATTTCTGTGAGTGTTACGTTGAGAACAGTATATAAAAATCCAGTGTAAGCAGCATCCTACAGATTTCAGCAGAGTGGAACTTTTTAATTGAAATATGTTTACTTGTTTCAGCCAGTTGTCTTACTTTAGCTCTTGCTGATCTTGGCATTGTAGAGACTGGGATTAATGTAGTTATGAGTCACAGTGCAAAAGTTACCGATTATTGCCGTTATGCTCCAGTTGCTGCAGCCACTTGGATTTATAGCCCAAAATATACACTGATTTACTATTGATTTTACTGCATATCTATATATAATATTTATTTCGTCAAGGTCTAAAGCGTGTCCCAGTTCACAGCCCAACTAGCTAGAATATAGAAATTGCCAAAATGTTGGTACAGATATGATGGACGGAATGGCTTCCGACGGTGCCATAAACTTTTCAGTTCTTTTATGTACAGTGTTGTTATACTATGATGAAAAGTCATTGATGTAAAAAAGCTTTGGTTGGGTAGAAGTTTTCAGTCAGGAATTTTCACGCTCGGGCACCAAGAGTGTGTGTGTGTGTCTTGCTCTCATGCTCTCACTTGACTTAGAAAGGTAGACATTCTGACTAGCAACAGTTTAAAATGCCCAAGAGCAAAAGTGTTTTTAAAGCTGTTACATTGGCATTCTATGTTCTACCCAGCAGTTCTGCAAGTTAATACTGTAATTTTTATCAACAACAACCTGCCTTCATATAACACTTCACAGGATCACTAAGCAAATAAGAAAAAGAGGAAACGGAAAAGGTTTGAGGAAGGGTCACTGGACTCGAAACGTCAACACTGATCCTTGGAGGCAAAAGCAGAAGTTGCTAGAAAAGCTCAGCAGGACTGGCAGCATTTGTGAAGAAAATAATCAGTTAACATTTTGGGTCCGTTGACCCTTCCTCAAAAGCCACTGACCCGAAACATCAACTCTGATTATTTTCTTCACAGATGC